GTTTGATAAATGATATACCAACTTTATTAATCAGTATACTCTCAAATAACTAACTCTTCTATTTTGAAAAATATCAATCGCCATTCAACATATCGTACATATTGTGTGATAATAAGATTGTAATTTATTTTTAAAATCAGTGTCAAATTTTTTCTTATTTTTCATAGATTTATAATCTATTACATATTATAAATATTCTTTTTCAAAATTATTGTCACTAAAGTATATAAATTTTATTATCTTTCTATGATTCCTATTCAGTGTTCTCTATTCCCATTTTCTACTTTTTCCCTCCTTTTATTCTCAAAATATTAGTTATCAATTTTTATTATCAAATAGAATGTCCAATTTGTTATCATTGCATAAAATTGTATTGAAAAATATGACTTGTCATACGACCACTTATCTTAAAAAGCCAGCACTCTTTCGCGTGATGCTTTTTATTTGTCGTCGCCAAAATGTACCACGACAAATTGCATCAGTCTGCGACCTCAGAATGCAACGAGAGAAACGGTACTTTATCCTAATGCCAGGGCTACTTCGTTATTTCCGTTTATGGTCGTGCTCTTCCAGTTGGTCAACCAAATTCGATTTTCTCGTTGTCTTCGACATTTTAGCTGTCCGTAGTCCGTATTACTCGTCCCCATTTTTCGTGCTTTACCACCGACCTACCACCATTGTATAATTACGCGAACATCACGTTAAAAGAAAAAAAAATATATATATAGTACCGAGCCACATTTAAAGGCAACGTAGTGCATTTCAATTAAATTTTATTTTAATTGTTTGACATTGCACGTTGTACGTGCGCGCTCACGTAAAAGTATTTCAGTTCTCGTGTAATTTTCTTAAAACTATATAATTTGATGCATAAATATACATTTTGGCATGTATTTAATCTATTAGCTATTTTTGTTTAATTGAAAGAAAACGAAACATAGCTTGTTCTCTCTGCGTCATTGCTATTACAATGCGAGCATTATTGTTTATTTATATACAATCATACACAATAGCTCGTAGCAAACTATGACGGTGTAATTATTTCCTATTATGAAAATCATATTTGCATTATTATTAGATATTACTAATGCAACACAAAATACAAACAAAAATAATAATTAATTTACACGTAACGGCACATTAATGATGTAATACATTCCACTTAACAATGATACTACCGTAACAATGATATTGTCTCGCGAGATAAGATATAAAAAAAAATATTTTAATCAATTTTGGTAAAATAATGTAGGCGTGTGGAAAAATTAATCAACTTTTGCAATCAGCATTAACTATCTGGCGGCATCGCCAGATCTTGTTATTGTCATTGCATATGTGGGCAGATGTGGATATGTGTGAGCAACCGATAGATCGCTGTCCGGATGACCGAAGGAGAAAAGGAGAGGCAACGAAGAGACACGCGAGAAACAAAGCAACACGTACCGTCGAGAATACACCGGGCACGTGTTACATGCGCGCGACCACATGATCGTTTCCCGATTCTCCTTGAACTCGTACATATCCGGGTCGGTGCACGCCAACAACTTCCGCTGGCAGAAAAGACATTTTCCCAAGAAGTCGTTTTATTATTTAATGGAAGCAATCCAAAGATAGAAGTTTTTATATAATCGACAACTCGGACAATATCAGATGGGCGAATTCAATATTTGTTTGATCAAAAATTGCATTGCATTGTGATTTGCCAGGAAATTTTTTTTTTAATATTACATTATATGCAAATTCAAAATTAAATTAAATATAAATAGAATTAAATAGATATTTTAACTCTATTTATCCATAAAAATTAAAAAATATTCATTTAATTGAAACGTGATTAAAGTTTTAATATCGTTATTACTACAGAAGAATTAATATATATATATATATATATATACTATTTTATTTGAAGCATAATAAAATGTTTGCTTTAAGAACAAAAAATAAAAATTCTTTTCTCCCATTTACTGCACGATACCAACGTCACTTTGCTTCAAAGGATTTAAATGGAACAACGAAAACGGTGAATTCTTAATATTGCTTACAGGAGAAATTAGTACTTTCGCATAATTCTGCTTGCACTTAATGAATCATGTTGAGAAACCACGGGCTACGAGCTTTGTGGAATCGCGGCGCTGCATGGAAACACGGTACAAAAGACGAAGAAGTCAAGAGGATAGCCGGTAAAATATTTATTACTCGCGCATATAGACGGCTCGTGCGCTCCAGAAGTTCTTCAAAGTTTCTCGAGCGAGCTACCATACAAGACACAATCCCGCACGATAATACTAAAAGAAAACAAAAGGAATTGAGGGAGACATAGTATCCGGCCGTAGATGATGTGCATCCCTCCTATCGCGAACCGTTTTCGTTGTTTCAGCTTCGTAACTTTAGAATTACTTATACATACAATTTGCGCAATACCTCTCACGAGAGATCGGTCGCTGGGCCCGAGATAGAAGTTCGTTCATAACAAAAAAAATGCGCTTTGTACGAGAATAAAAATTGTAGTGTAACGAGATTTATGCGATAAATTATACAACTTTTAATATGTAGGTTTAATAGTAAAACAACTTTTTAACACGTAAAGCGCCTCAATAAAATTTAATTATGACATCATGGCTGAATTTAAACTTTTTGTGAATAAATATAAAAAAATTTGTGTATCCTTTTTTTATATTTAAATTGATTAATGTAGATTATTTTATATTTCAATACTATTTTTCATCGTTAATATTTTTTATAATATATATCTCTTTCCAATGATTGCTCGAAGTAAATCCTAAATAATCTTTTTAAATATTTTATCGCGCGAATGCGGTCAACACACACATGTGTGTTAGTATAACTTTGCTCTCTGTTATCATTTAATTACCATCATCATTTACATCGCGCTTTTATTCGAAATAAAAAATTATAAAAGCTCACGTATGCGAGAGATATCAAACTTGGCGCATTTCAGGTCGTTAAGCGGCAGACAAAATAAATTCTGTTTTCGCTGTTCAGTTGACGGAAATGCATCGAGAATAATTAAGCGTTCATCAAATCGCGGTCGCGCCACCAAATGCCGCGTATACAACATACATAGTGGCAAATCCTTACAAATAAATACATAATAACTCAGGCGAGTGTGATAAATAAATTTACTCACCGAACCGTGTGCTGGCAATAACTGCTGGCTGTTTCATCGGTGTCGACAGCTCCGATTCGAAAAGCCGTGCCAGATCAATCTCGTCCAGGATGCTCATTCACGGGCGCATGGATATCGGAAAAACCCGGCTAATTACGATCGCGCGACGCTTTACATTCGACCCCAGACACTCGCGTCACTCGCGTATAAACTCGTGATATACATCAAAGACGCGCGTAACGATATTGAATGACGTACACTCCGCGAATCGACGCGCAAATGCGCACCGTGTTCTACGCGTTCACTAACACTGCGATTCGGATATTCGATAATGGCGATAAGAGCAACTAATTACTACGCGCACTTCAATACACAACGGTCGACCGACACTTTACTCGGCACTCCCGATACGCTGTTAATTAGGCGCGCGACATACTTGGAATGGGCGCGAACGATGCGAAGCGCGCGCTCCATGCGCGCGCTCGAAATGCGCGCGAAGTGAGGCTTCGACGAGAGACACCAGACCTACGACAGGAATGTTTTGCACAAATTATAACGACAACGGGCAATCAATCGTTATATGTACATGATTGATCACACTCTCGACACTATTTTCACGACTCGCAGACGGGTCCGAATCAATTCTGACGAATATAAAACGCGAGAAATACAGACGAATTTTCGAGCGCGTCTGAACGTGGGACGAGTCGCGGCGCGAAATGAACCGAAGCGGCGCGACAGTCGCGCGCGCGCATACGCTGGGCTGAGGCACAAACTATACACACATGTAGAATAGAATATAAACAATTTTCTTATTGTAAATCACAAGTTCTTTTTTTACACATACATTCACACAAATAATCAATATTAAAAATAGCAATTATATTACGCGGTGTTAAAAAAGAATGTTTTAAAAAAATATTTTGTACGCAAATTAAAAATAAAAATATACATATATATATATATATATATATATATATATGAGGGAGAGAGACATGGATATATTTTTTGTGAGATATTTCGCTCCTTTTGCGGCGATTCTATCTGTCGGCTCTTTTCTTACCTTTTTCACTCTTTTTGCCTACTGTCTCCGTGAACGGCCTCTTTATTTTGTTCGTTCTCTTTTCCCGCCACTACGCAGTCGCAAAGTTAGACGAAACTCGTTATCGGATAGAACGGGCGATTACCGCCTCGTCTCGAGTTGGTGCTCGACTTTTAACGCGATTATACGTCGCTGAAACGCTAAATTGCACGACGCAACGAGAGTTAACGCCCGCGAAAACTACAAGTTCGAGCGATGCGCCTCGGGGAAGAGTGGCGAAAAATATCTGATAAAACGATGCGAATAGCAAAAAAGATATCCCGCCATTTAGCATATTGCGATCATAATACTGCGAATAATTTTTCAATAAATAAAAATTACGGCTTTTGTGACGGCACATGAAAAACTATGTTACATGGAAAAAAGATCGTTTATATAGGTTGAACTCTTTCTGAAAAACATTTCAATATTATACGTATCTTAAAGAACGATGAATAGCCACAAGTATTCTTTTTATAACATTTGAGAAATAAAGCAAAAAATAGGCAGCAAATAAGAAACGTAGTAAGGCTAATATGAAAAGCAAACATCCCGAAAAATCTCTCGCGTTTCATAAAACTGTTCTCACGCGGCTCTACGTACTTTATACGCGGCTCCGTGCCGCAAATAGACCGAAGAAAAGCTAAAAGCAGAAACGAGAGAGGTAAACGCGAAAGCCCGATAGATCGAGCCAATCGTTCACCTGCTCAACCAATCGCACACCTGTATTCGCTCTCCGCGAAGCTAAACCAATCGGGCCGTACGTATCGTTGTTTGGCCAGTTTACGAGCTCCACGGATATCGATTACCGATCGCCTCGGCGGCTATCGCTTCCTCCTAATACTGAAAAATGGACCAAAGCCTTTGCGCGAGAGATCACCTGCGAAAGAGAGCGCGGAGCTGCTATTGCCGTGGAATTCTCTCAACGCGCTCGACGCTCGATGAAGGACCTCGCGAAGAATGCTCAAAGTTTCCGCCCGCTTCCGGTTCGCCGGCTTTCGCTGATGGCTGCAATTAGACCTCTGGCTATCCCTTTATAGCACACACGCGCGCACACCGCTCGAAAAGATCGACCCTCGCAACTAGAAGAGAGTAGACTATAAACGAGAATATCCTCTCTAATTGAAAGCGAGACTTTAAATTTTCGGAAACTTAATGAATCAAAAGAAAGACTGTAATGAATGTTTGCTCGTCCGTCTTATTCTTTTATCTATTGTAATAATATTTGTGTCTCGTGAATAGCACTATTATAATATTGGAATAAAAGACAAAAAAAAACTTTTAGATTAACATTATATTCGAAATAAAATAACGAACAAATTTTTATAACACAAATGCATTCTGCAATAATCGATCATTGTTGAAGTTTTAATTGCTCCGCATATTAAAATTTCTCGAAAAATTCATTTTATCCATCTGACACGAAAATAATTATTTTTAATTATTGTTAATTATTTTTAAATTTAATACTTTAACGAGAGAAAGATTATAACTATATGATCTCTATATTAAATTTACTTTTCAAGGATTATTATTATTTTTATTTTTACATAAGATCTCTGTTCAAACGATAATTATATATTGTATTATTTATTTCTCATCAAGTCAATAAATTTCTAGACTTCTTGCTATAAGCTTAAATAAAAATATAACTACTCGATTCTTTTACATATTAATACAAACATTTTTTACTAAAAAAGAATATAAATTATAATAATATCGAGAAGATTTATCATTTGCATAAATGCAAGTACGTTTAATTGACGAAGCTTCGGAATTCTGTCTACAAATTCCTCTTTACATTGCACTTCCTCCGACGAATCATTATAACGAACATCCTATTTCTATGTAGCAAAACGTTGCGAGGAACATATTGTCTTATCGAATAGAGAACAGTGTTACAAAGTGTTTTTAATATAAACCTCGCGGTAACTATTTAACTGAAAGCAATTCCATTTAAGAGCCGCACGTTACAATGATCTGTTTATATTCAAAATATCGCGATAAATTACTTTGTAGAACGATTCTCGTTTCGCTTCTTGCTTAATAATAACGCACATGCGCAAAGGTGCAGGACAAAAAAATTCTCATAGAGAGATGGCCGTATGTGGAACATAATCGCAAACCGAAGAAAAACGCTTCTATTATACGAATAAATTTGCATGCGGTATCGCGACAATTTTTATAATGACTCTGTTATTGGAGACTTAAAATTCGCGAAAACCGATTCCAATATTACAACAGCTATTCATGAATTTCATTTAGACGCAAATATTATTCCAATAGATAATGCATCTTCATACATACATGCATACATACCACATATTTCCGCACGCGCGACCGCTTCCGATGTAATGACGCCAACATCGCGTACGTTACAGGAATCGAGGTGCTTTCGAACTCGATATTCGAATGATACGCTCGTTGAATATTCATGTGTCAAATTTAGCAGATGGGGTACGCCCTTATTCCTATCACTCGTCGTGCGAATAAGTCAACACATTCGAACGTTATGGGATTACATCTGAATACAATGCGTACGTGAATATTAGATTCCCCGATATACACGGAGCTTCCTGAAAAATAAAAATGTGAAATTTCGAACTCTCACTGCGAAATGCATAGTATGTATAATGCAATCTTTTAAATCTAACATGATTGGGATACATACCAATAATCCACGCGTATTCCAAGAATTATTACTTGCACGATAAATCGCCATATACACAGTCTGAAATATATATGCGTACATTCATGAATATGAAATGTTTATCTTAATGTGATAATTTCGTCATCGTCAACGTTTATGGAATATTTTACGTTTTATAATGCATAAAAACGACAAAATTTTATAATAAATTATACCTTATACAAATTGTTGTAGCAAATGCTGCTCGATGTTGTTCAAGCATTTTTAAAAGCATTACTGTGAAGTGGATAAATAAATGCATTACACTTGCCGTTATAATTTGAACGATCAGCACGAATGAGTCTTTGCGTCTGATCATTCGGAAATTCTATCCGTGTAAAAAATAAAGTAGTGTTTAAATGACCAATCATGACAAAAGGAATAAAGATTCCTTTGTTCTGATTGGTCAATGCAATATTACCCTACTTCACGAATAGAATTTTCGAGCGCACCTTAAGTAATAACTTGACTAACGTAGTAGTGACGTTGTCGCGCGGCTAATTCAAATTTGTAAACAAATTATTCTGATATTTTGCTAATTAATTTTGTCGTTAATGAATAAGTACGATAAATATATACGATAAGAAGTAAACGATAAATACAAGAGAAATCGTGCTTATATTATAATTGTAGTTTTTTTATATCTCTAAGAAGCAATACCTATAGTTACATACGAATCGTAGATTCGTTATGGTTATGTTGCCCTATTGTAACTGTGCGTAATGTTTACCAAGTATATCTGAAATCAGTAAAATGGAAATAGAATTAATTGAATTGAAGGATATAAAGGCTGTACCAGACATTATACACACTTATCCACAACGAGTGAAGTCCGAGTATACGCCACTCGTTATTGACAATGGTAATTCATATTATATGGTATATCCTAATTATGTTATATCAGATAAATTTACAGCTGTTCTTCTCTCTCTCTCTCTCTCTCTCTCTCTCTCTCTCTCTTGTATTAGGATCCTATAACTGTAGAGTCGGTTGGGCTACTGAAAAGGAACCGCAATTAATATTCAAGAACCTCATAGCAAAACCACGAAAGGAACGTGGCAAGAAAGACGGAGAACCTCAAGTAGGAAATGACATAGCGAACATCGAAGCTGTTCGATTTCAACTAAAGACTCAATTTGACCGAAATGTAGTAACGCATTTTGAGGCTCAAGAACAGATATTTGATTACACATTTACGCATATGGGTATAGATACGGAGGGCAATGTAAATCATCCAATTATTTTGACAGAGGCATTTCTCAATCCCAATTATTCTCGTAACTGTAAGAAAATAATGATTTATATATTACACTATTTGCACAATGCACACAATAATTTAATAAATCCATGTATTTCAGTGATGGCAGAATTGTTATTTGAATGTTACAACGTGCCATCAATAGCGTACGGTATCGATTGCTTATTTTCGTATCAGCACAACAACTGCCCGCCTGATGGATTAATAGTTAGCATAGGATATCATGCAACTCATATAATACCGATACTAGATGGAAAAGCAGATGCCACAAATGCAAGAAGAATCAATGTTGGTGGATATCACATCACATCATATATGCATAGACTCCTTCAATTAAAATATCCAGTACATGTTAATGCAATAACACCTAGTCGTGCAGAGGTACATATCATTATATATTAAAATATATATATATTCATATATAATAAATTATTTTTTATATATACTAAATGTATTTACTGTAATAGCAGTAAAATAGCAGTTATTAGATACTTATTTCATAATTTCTTTAGGAGTTGATACACGAACATTCGATAATTGCTTTAAATTATCAGCAAGAATTATCCAAATGGGCAGATGCAGATTATTATGACACACATGTTTTAAGAGTACAATTGCCATATATCGCACCTACTACTACTCCTGGTCTAACACTTGAACAGCAAAAAGAAAGAAAACGGGAATTAGCACGAAGATTGATGGAAATCAATGCAAGAAAGAGAGAAGAAAGGGTTGGCACATTTTATTTTATTTATACATATCTCTATCATAGTATTATTATTATTATATGACTTGAAGTTTTATTTAACATTTCATATTTGCAGTTGGCAGAAGATGAAGAGCAACTTAACCAGTTGTTGGCAGTCCAAGATCTTTTAGAAGAAGGTGAAATCGATGAATTTGATCAGGCATTAAAGACATATTCTCTTGCAAATGAAGCTGATTTGATAAAAATGATTAACAATCTACAAGCAAAAGTAGAAAGAACCCGACAGAAAATTGTTGCTGCTAATTCACAAGAGGAAAATATAGTGATAGAAGAAAAACCTAAAATTAAGTCGAGTCTTCAACCTAAAGATCAACAAGATTTTGATGAGTGGATTGCTGGAGTTAGAAAGAAAAGGTAATTTTTTTATATATACATTGCATTAATATTTTATAGTCACTGTATATATATTTATTGATAAATAGGTATTGCTAAATCTTTATTTCTTATAGACAAGATATATTGGATAAACGTATGGCAAAGAGGCAACGTAGACAAGATATGGCAAAACGAAGAACAGCTGCTGCACAGGAGAGGATGCGCATAATTAGCCAGTTGGCGAAAAAAGAAAAGCGTGATGATGATTTTGGTATGCGGGACGAAGATTGGGATGTATACAAAGTTATAAACAAGGTATGTATTTTTTCTTATATGCCAAACATTGTACAAATTGATATCGTTTATTGCAAAATGTTTCTTTGCAGGAAGGTGGCGATTCCGATTCAGAATTAGAGCAGGAAAAATTGTTGGAATTGGAGGATGTTTTACGTCATCATGATCCAGAATTTGATAGTGCTGGTTCCAGTGTTCCCATGGTTCCTGGGGAAACTCACCAACTTCATGTAGGCGTAGAACGTCTACGGGCGCCAGAATTATTGTTTCAACCGTCCATGGTTGGTTCTGTGGAAGCTGGAATTGCTGAGACAATCGAATTTGTTTTAAAACAGTTCTCCCCTGAAGAACAAACGCGTCTCGTGAGTAACGTATTTCTCACTGGTGGACCAACAGCTTTCCCGGGGTTATTGGAAAGATTGAAACGTGAGCTACGTGAAATGAGACCTTTTGGATCAAACTTTCAAGTCAATATTGCAAAGAATACCAGCTTAGATGCTTGGTATGGTGCAAGAGATTTTGGTTTAAATGGCAATCTTCCTGAATACTTAGTTAGTCGTAAAGAATATGAAGAAAAAGGTGGGGAATATTTCAAAGAACACTTGACAAGTAATACTTACACTCGTTCGCCCGATCCTTTGCCAATGATACAAGTGCCTGTAACATTGGAGCAGGTGATCGTAGAAGATGCTGTAGTCGATGTGGAAATTGAATAAAGGGTATTTATAATTATGATTTGAATATTATTAATAAATCATATATAATTAAACAATATAAACGAAATGTTCTCAGTACTTTTATATCGCCAGGCAGATTTTACCAAATCAAGTTTTTATATAAAATATAATTTAATCATGATATATAAAAATGAGAAATTTTATTATTGATTATTGGATATTAGCAAAACGACCAGCTGTTGTTCATAGATACCTACTTTATTACACAAGTATTTCCGTTTGTTCATTTTATTACGAACAAACTACATTGTAGTCTGTTTGCTGATCACAATATACAGTTCCCAAACATCGCATTTCGCCATTCAACACAATTACGCGGGATACGTTTTATACGTTTTACTTTTTTATTTTTCGAGGACAATCGACATCAGCTTCTGGGCGTTCTTCGTGTAGCCTAAAAAATTATGAAAGTGATCCCTCACCTTAGCGATAAGATTGATTTTACAGCAACCTCAGTTACAAATCTTCGATCTTGATTTTAAGCGACTTAAGCTAACATCACAATATAATACACACTGAAATCATTGTCGAGGCCCCATAGGTAGCTACAACTAACACTACTAATTCTTGCATATCAATAAAGGAACCTATATTGCAATATAATGATTTTTCCGATCGCTCGGGTTTAATCAGAATAAAGAAAGAGAGGTTTGCACATAAATGATAATCACAAACTCTTAGATCACAGATGCACATCATTTGTTTGTAGTACATAGTTGATCAAGACTAAAAAAATTCCTCGTTTTATACTATATGCATTGTGTACTCTCAACCTATATCAAATAACAATTACAAACATGATATATAAGTTGTTATATATAATGTTAGACATGTTCTTTACAGAATAGTTCATTTTTCTGCAGACAACATGCTGAAACAAATAAAGTAAGGTTTGCATAAATATATATTTTGTTAAAACAGTATAAATCTATATTATAAAAGCATACAATGCAAGCCGACAACATTTGCAAATACAAAATTGTAGAGCTCATTACAAAATTAATATAATATTTAAACAATATTATTCAATGTTTGCAAGATAATCAAGCTGAAATTTAATGAAATATATCCGCATAATTAATGATTTATTTTGTTTTATATCATATTTATCATACATAATCATGTAATGAACTGAACATCAGATTTGTATGTATATTTTGTTAATCAGGCTCATGGATGAATTATATATATCTTAATACAGTGCGCATAAAACTTAATTTAAATATTCTTTACAACTATCACAGTTTGAGGTTGCTGCAAATCAATGTCTCGCCTATAATGACACACTATATCTTATGAAATTTTCATTCATAGAGAGAATGGAAGGGTAAATAGGTGTGGAGGACACTTGGGTAGTTTTGTTTACGATAAGATTGAGGTAGAATCCAATCTGCAAATAAATACAACTTTTGATCCGCATATGCTACAAGTGAGGGGCTACTTCCGTCAACAATAATATAACATTATATAATTAAAAGTATACGTAACATTAAAATAATATCGCGACGATGATGATGATACAGTAACAATAATTATAATGATGATAATAATGTAATAAAGATGACACATTAAAATAATAATAATTCACAATAATAATTAGTACAACAACGCAATTAATATTTTTTCCGCAATAGAATGGCTGTATATATGCATTTATATATACATATACA